TTTTTAAAGATTTTTCCTGGCCACCTTTCGAAACAAATTTTTTTTAATGTCCCGATAAGCCCAACCGAAATTCTAAAATAATAATATATTTCGCAAAATTGATGATTATTATAGTTAAATATTTAAACCAATCCCGAATTATATTTAAAAAATTATAGGTCAGATACAGCCCAGAATGATTTTAAAAAAAAATAAGCTATTACCTTTTGAGTATTTGCAATGTAAATACAGGTGTCCTTTACTAATGACTATTCTTGCATACACTGCAGATGTGTGGGGTGATTATATTTTTCTTAGGACAAAGGCTAATTGAAATCCGGGGTTCTATCGGTGATAGATTATGGCCCAGGTGTTAAATTGGAATAGCATCTAGCCATAAGTAACCATTATAATTATGGACAAATTGAAGGTTGGTAAGTTCCTCGAGTATTTTATTAAATAGTGTTAATTTTGTAAAAATTAATTAAAATACATGGTAAGTTTTTTAAAATCTTTCAGAGACATCAATAGTATATATGTCATCTAATAAATATTTGTCATTTAAAGCTGCCGACATTATTTACATAAAAATTCAAGCTTCTAAGTGTTATTCATAGTTCTAACTTAAGAGGTAATTATCCGGTTTCTTAGAAATATAGTTGGATCTTTTTAAATAAGAAAAATCAACTTAAAAATTTCTAATACCAACATCGTCAAAACTTATTTCAGACTTTGATATTTGATTGTAGTTAATTTTGGGATATTAAATTTGCATCGAAATCTTTACATAGGGTAAAATTTAGAATATTATTTTGATCAGAGAAACTTTATTGTAAAGAAATTAGTAAAAATTATTATGAGCAATTACGAAATAATAATAAGATATTTCAATAAAATACATTTTTTCAATTCCCAAGGTATATTTGTTTAAATTAATCAAAATAAATATTTATTACCTTTGACTATCAATGTTTGAAATATAACTTCTAAAAGGAAGTTTTTTTGGAAATTGTGTTACAAGAAAAAATCAATATTCAACATCAAGCTCTTATAGCGATCTAAAATATTCTATTTAGAGTGTTGTTTTCTTGGAGATATATCAGAATGACCTGCGATATTTTACATTATTGGATTCATTATGACAGATGATTTTTTTTTTGCTTTGAAATAAATTATTTAATTACAAAAAATTTTTTTGCAATAATTTTTAAAATGATATGGATTTGGCTGATGTTATGAGAACCGCTAATATTTTTATATTAATACTTAAAAAACAAAATGATAATATCGACAAGAATTTTATAAGATTTGCGTAATTGATTCGTAAGCTCTTTCATCTAGACAAACAAATCGTTCAACTATTGAGGTGGACTTAATTGAGGATTACTATAAAATAACAAATTTTTCCATTTTTGGATATATTTTTTATTCAAATTAACGAACCATTTATGATATTTTAAAACTTGATTTACATATACCATTTTCTAGAAATCCCATTGTTGATATATTAAATCCTGGTTTTAAAAAAATGACTGTTTAACTTAATTTTAAAGGATATAAATGTTTCCGAAGACTAATCAATTTACAAATTTAAATCTTAGTATGAAAGATTAATTTTCATATCAAATTCTTGAGAACCAATGAAAACATTGGATACTTTATAATATATTTTTCAGTTTTTTCCAATATATTAGAATTACTCAATTGCAAAGAAGATTATTTTATTTATAAAATATATTTTGATTAACTTAAATTGCCAGATAATATATTTTTAAAGATAATGTATTGGAAAATAATAATTGCAAGAATTCCTTTTAAAAGGTAAATATTTATTACATTTTATATAGATTTAATTAAATTTTTATACATATACATATACAACAACATAGGCGTAGCCAGGATTTTCCTAAGGGGGGGGGGGAATTAAAAGGGGCGGGCCTTCGGCCGGATAGTCATAAAATAATTTTACAATATAGGAGGTTAATTTTAATAAAAAAATAAGCATGGAACAAATATGAAATATCTAGTTTATATAAAATATAATAAATTACTTGTATATACATTAATATAAAAGCATAGTAATAATTTATTCCAAACATGTATAAGTAATTTATTTATAAAAATAAGTAGACATATAGTTGACATTCCTTTTATTATATAGAATTAGTTACAAAATACTAGGTAAAATTTTACTTTTACAGACATATTTGACAGTTAGAGAATATATTACAGTTAATATTTTAACAAATTTTACTAATCTATGCTCTTGATAATAAATATTGCAACAATTTGCATTCAATTATTTAACGCCATCTATTTATTTTAAATAAAAAATGATATTAAAAATTTAACTTCATATTATTCATCCCACAATATCTTTAAAAGATATTTTCTGATGTCCTTATCAATATTTTTTACTCACTTTATAAAAAATTATATTTGAGATATTATATTATTTAGTAATTTTATGGATATATTATTAATAATTATAATACATTCACTTTTGTCTTAAGACTTATCTTTGGCTTATATTCCATTTCTTAAAAAGCATTCTTTGTTCACTTTTTTTATATACAAATGCTTTTTTCCAAAAATGTATAAATTATGATGAATAGTTTTATAAAATAATATCAACTTTTACATTCTTTCTTTCAAATTATTGTTTGATATATGCATATATTTTTGTTGTTCAGGGAGTGGAGGAAAGACTAAGGGGGATATTTTTAATTAGTTTAAAATGACATTCACAAAAAGTGATAAATTTTTGAAGGGGGGGGGGTTACCCTCGCCCCCCCCCTGGCTATGCCTATGTACAACAAGAAAATTTTTTTGCCCCTATCCCCCCCCCTTCCCATTATTCCTATCTGGTAACAAAGTTTTGTTGGCGTCCTTGCGAAAAAAATCCTACGCCATTACGCGAAATATCTCGCACAATTAATACTCTAGGCCATCGTGAACCAAAGTGATGAATGAATGAAATAATTTTAGTCATTTAAATAAATTATTAAATTTTCCTTTCAGATAATTATTTAGAGTAATATATTGTATAAATTCTTGGGTAAGTGAACTGGAGGGGAGAGGGGGGGGGGGTATTAACACAAAGTTATATTGTCAGGACAAATTTTTAAAGGAGGAGGATATTTTCACTTGTTATCCCATTACCTAGGGCAGTGGCCCCTACACTTTCTGAGCGAATGAAGCAGAATACCCACCTGAAAAGTACCTCTCCCCCTCTAAAAAATGATAATTATTTTATGACACCCATAAATTTAAAAAAAAAAATTTTATTGCATGAATTTTTAATATATAATATAAATAAAATGTAAAAAATATATAATTTATAAATATTATTTTTAAATTAATAATTTAGATAAATTAGAGGAAGAGAAAGCGAAAGAATTTATAATTTCATCAATATTTAATTGTTTAAATAAATTTTTTTCCATTGATAATATGGTTAAATTATTGAGAAATGAATCTTTCATGGTACTATGAAGTCTTGTTTTAATTAATTTAATTTTACTCATCACTCTTTCGGCAGTACATGAGGTTGTAGGAATGGTTAATAAATAATTATATGAAATTCTTAAATTAGGGAAAGCAGAAAAATTTAAAAGTAGACGATAAGGTAAAATAAATGAATAGTTTTTCCAATCTGAATCGTAAGTCCCTGAATTATCATCATCATGAGAAGAAGCTAAATAATGTATTGGTAAAAATATTTTAATTAAATATATTTACAATTCTCAGAATCTGACAAATCTTTAGATTCTTGAACATCTAGGTCATGAGTAATAGTATTTCGGCCATCTTATAAATATTTCTAAACTTCAACATTTCTTCAAAAATTTGAAGTAAAATTCACAAATATCCTCGATTTCTTTAATAATTGATTTTTCTGCCATTCCCTTTGGCGTAAAAAATGATATTTGATGTAAAAATATAATCGAATCATCATTAAATCTTTCGTTAAACTGCATATGTTATATTCATTAAAATTTAATAAAGCTAAAAAATTAATATTTATTACCAGTAGAGAGATAATAGAAATTTCTTGTTCTACTTTATCAAATCTCAGCTCTGTGTCTGCCTGTAAAAAATATAGCAGAGATAAAAAATAAGAGTAATTAAATGACCTCAGGTTCACTAATTTCAAGATCATTATCAGAATCATCAGACACTATGTTTTCTTCTAACACATTTTCTTTATTATTAGGACACTTTTAAAAGATAATTATATTAATTAAAAATATTTATTATACCAACAGCATTAAATTACCAATTTTTACTTCTTTTTCCATATAAATAACTAAATATTTAATAAAAAAATTACTTAGCTATTTGTCCAATTTTGAGTAACATTCTTAAAAGCTAGTATTTCAAAGCTTTTCTTTATATCTTTAAAATTAAACCCACCATGTCTTTTTCTAATGTGATCTATCCATTTATCATCTCTTATATTATGCAATCAATTTTTAATTAAGCATTTGTATTTTTTTGCTTAATATTTTTAGGCATATTTTAAAATTGGAAAAATAATTTATGACATAAAATCTCGGATAACAACCAAATTTACTAAACATCGATCAAAATTTCCGTCAATATATATTAAAATAAATATTAAGTTGGGGAAGGGGGGTCTTATTATTACATTTATAAACCAGAAATCACTTGATCATGATGGATGTAACAAAACAGTAAAAGAATTAAATAATAAAGAAAATTATAAAAAAAACCCCCACCCAAATTTACTGAAGCAGTTGCTTAGGACCCCCCCCTTCCCCCCATCCGTTATAGGGGCCACTGACGTAGGGCCTCTGCATTGTCTCCAGAGATTCACAAGGTTTTATAAATTTAACAATAACTTACTATTATATTAAGTTTACCGTGAATTTGGGCATTTTTTTATTTTTACTATTAAAATTTGTTATATAACTGGCATACTCCTTTCAAGCTTTTGTTTTTCTTATAATATGCTATTCTTATCTTTTTAAACATTAATTGACATTCATACACTATTTAAAACATATGCCTTGTCTGTCAAATTTGATATGGAGGTGACGGTTAAACAGGATTTAAACGCCGGATTTTATATTAATTTAGGCTCTGAAATGAAGCCGGACCTTAATATTGACCAAAAATTGCATTTGATAACTCGCAATTTGCAGGTAATCAATCTATTTTATATTATTTTTATAACCATAAGTAATATAGGTTTATATATTTTTAAACAGTAAATTTTGTTATTTTGATTCAAATTTATTGCATCATGCCTTAGTTTTATATTTGATAACAAATTATATGGTTTATATATAATAAAAATTCAATTTATAATTATTTTAAGTTATTTGAATTCATATTCAACTTGTTTTTGATTGAATACATTATATATACTGATTAAATTAATTAATAAGTTTTATTAATTTTAATTATATCATAAAAAAATAACTAATTATAGATAGAAATATTTATTATCTTTCTTATTCATAAAATTTACAATTTATTAAACTAAATGTTTGTATTCTCAATTTTTCTTTAAAATCACTATTTATTTTTATACTTTAAAAATCCATGGAAAAGTTCTAAAATAATTAATAAATTTTATAAAATTTTATCTTATTAGTAAAAAAGGATAAAGCAGAATTTGTATCAGGGTTTTTTCTAGACATGTTAGAATTTTTAAAGGGATTGGATTGGATCCATGTTTAGTCACATAGTCCTAAAGATAAGTTGGCTTGATTTTTTGTAATGTTATCAATTCAGATTTAATTAGCTATTAGATCATAAATACATTATTCTATTTTATTTGTATTTTAACAGTATGAATAGCATAATTATTTATTTAAAATATGAATAATGTAAAAAATATTCACTGAATAATAGGCTTTTTTTATTGATCCAAAATTTTATATGACTATGAAGAACCGAATTTGAAGGAAGAAAGATTTATATATTTTTTCTGTATAATGAATTATTTGAGCCATCATTTTGTAGGGTACTTGATCCACAAATTTCTATGATACAATTCTGTTATTCATATAACCAATCTGATATTTATATTGATTTTTATTTTCTCTCCATCATTTAAACCTATATATTAGAAAATAAATGTTTTATATGCAAAAAAAATAACAAATACCAAACTATGAGCAAAATAAGGAATTAAAATATTCTCATACCTAAGCTATATTTAATGTATTATCACTATTAATTAAGCATTTTCTTAAAACTCATCTCAGTTAAAGTATGGACAATGTTTATGGCCAAATATGATGCTACATATTTTTAAATTCTTTTCTTTGAAATTACATAACAAAAAAATTATTTTATTCTTTTTCTTTTAACTTTGGAACACTCTACATTTAATTAAATTCCTTGAATTTGCAAAATTTATGAGATGACTTATTTTACATATTGTTAAAAATGGTAATAGGACAGGAAATAAAACCCCTACTTAAAAATTTTAAACAAAAATTTTTTTTATATCAAATTTGATGCTTAAATAACACTTTTTGAAATTCTCACATATAACATAGGATTTCTTCTACCAGATCTTTTTCAAATCAAAAATTGAAGATTGGTGGGGAATTATTACGGATGCTTTATCAAAATAATAAATGGGGGTTGGGTAATATAAGAGCGGGGAAGGGAGTAGAGGGCTCAGTATGTTTTTCATTTTTTTCTATTTTTTGGAATATAGAATGTATCTATAAATGACTGATATGAATTATTGGGTAATCTACAACCAGAATCATACTCAGAAATCTTTTCTTGGCAAATTTTATAGGAAATATTCATAAAAAAATTAATTAAATAGGAAAACTTTTTAAGATCTATAAGAAGGTATCCAATTTTTAAAAATGGATAACAAAAATGTAAGGCCAAACCTTAGTTAACATATTATTATGTCTTTCAACGATAACCACCACCAATGACAAATGAATGTGATCAGTGCCTTTTCATCATTATTAGAAAATTTTATATAAAATAATAAAAAAAATTTTGTAACATAATACTGCATTCATTCCAATCTGGCACGATTTAACTGTTGATTGATTTTTAAAAAGTCTGTTTTGTTCAAATCATATTAATATTAATTTTATCTTTAATTACATTCACGATGATTATCTAAGAATAATTGTTTTTAATAAGGAAAAATTGATCTCATAGGCAGATTTTTAAAATCGATCAGCTGTTAAATCATGCTGGATCGGATCCCACTATATGCTGCCTAAATATACCCAAAAAATATCAAATCGGATCAGTTTTTTTTAAAATGGTTTATCCGATTTTTTTAATAACTATAAATGTTAACCCCGATTCGATATTTATCATTGGAATCCTGAGTTTTTAATGATCTGAACGACTATACATATGATATAAATTTTAACTATTTATTTCTATAAAAAAATGGTTTAATTCTTATGAATTTGTTTAAAAGGAAGTCTTGGGGGAAGATAAAATTAAAGAAATTTTATCGAAGAGAGATTTGAAGATCTACTGGGGAACAGCAACAACAGGAAAGCCACATGTCGCTTATTTTGTCCCACTTGTCAAAATCGCTGATTTTTTAAAAGCGGATTGCGAAGTAAAAATTAATGCCCAACTTTGGTTTTTTCTTTTAAATAAATCACACATTTTAAGTTCAAAAATGTGTGCACGCTCTCTTGATTGCATTTCATGATTGCCAATTTATCATTAGCTCACCTGAATATTGCTAATTAACATTGGGTTTGTTTAACATTTATATCTCGCTGAAATTCTTTACACCTAGTGGATATCGATTTAATCTCTGAGCTTAAAAGACTCGACCTAAAATCAGACTTATTCTGAATCAATTTTTTTTAAAGTGAGAAAGAAATAATATATAATGTTAATCCCAATTTTAGCATATTGTTTAAATTGAATTTACAAAAATTTGAAAATTGATCAATACTTTAGGGTTTATATATTCATATTTTATCTTACCAGTTAAAGTAATTTTCACTACCAATTCATTTTAATATGACATACAGGTGACCATACTATTCGCCGATTTACACGCATATCTCGACAACCTTAAGGCTCCTTGGGAATTGCTCGCTCACAGGGCCACCTACTACGCGTTTCTTATCAAAGAAATGCTTAAATCGATTAATGTACCGGTCGAAAAATTGAAATTTATTAAAGGAACCGATTATCAACTGTCCAAGTAATAAAAAAACTAGAATAAATTTACTTTAAAAAAAGTTTTTTTAGACTATTAAACATCTCAAGGAAAATGTATAATTTTTTTTTTTGAAAAATAATATTTTAATAGAGAGTACACGTTAGACGTTTACAAAATGCTATCTCTCGTTTCCGAACACGACGCTAAAAAGGCAGGATCAGAGGTTGTTAAACAAGTTGAGCATCCTTTGCTTAGCGGATTAGTTTATCCCTTGTTGCAGGTTCATGATTTATTTAATCTATTTGGAGATGGTAAAACGTCACCCGTCTTTCATTTTTTTTTACTAACGTCCCAAATGCGCTACAACTCCTGAGATAGTCTTATAAAGCGGACACCTATATCTTAAAATTTACATTTTGTTGTATGTATGATATGTTTTTTTTCAAAACTTTTTTAAAGAATATTTTAAAATTATATTTAATAGTCCATTTTCAAAATTCGTCGTTTTAGAAGGCTCGGGCTAATGCTTCAAAAATGTTTAAATTCATTTATAAATAAGATTCCTCATCTCATATGCATGATTTCACTAAAAAAAACCCGTGAATGGTCTAGGAGAATTGGGCTATATTTTTTAAAAGTATAGTATATTTATATATGTTAGCTTCAATTTTTTTCCGGCTATTTGTTATTTTTTCAACTTTAAATAATTTTTCAGCGCGTTTTTTTAAATTTAAAAATCCGATTTTACCGGAAATTTCGATCTATATTCGTTCTTCCTTAAATTTTTTATATAAAATTGCTAATGGCAATTATCTGAAATACATAGGGTAGATATTCTAAACATGCTGGAATACATTTAAAGGTAGAATCAGAATTTTAAAATTTAAAGAACGCGCTCAAATAAAATGATTTAATGATGTGAAAGTAACACGTTGACGGGGAAAACACTGACTCTAAACGTATATATATGTCACTTGTAGGAATATTTGTCGACCAAGTAGCCTTGTAGCATTAAGTCAAATTAAAACATGCTTAATTATTTTTTAAATGAAAATAATCTTAAAGGGGAAACTGTATTGTTCTTTTTTTTTAATAGGCTTTAGATGAACATTACCTAGGAGTGGACGCTCAATTTGGCGGGGTTGACCAAAGAAAAATTTTCACCTTTGCCGAAAAGGTCTATTTTTTTTTCATTTTTGATTTAAAATTTAAATGAGCTTTTGTTAAACTTAAATTTATATTTAGTATCTACCTTCCTTGGGTTACGCCAAAAATAGCCATTTGATGAATCCGATGGGTAATTATTAAATTATTTATAAACCATTCAAAATTTTATCGATCAAATTAAACACCATTTTAATCTCTTTTTGGGGTAAATTGGTAAGAAGGAACACTATTCATAGACCTCACATGGTTTATAAATTTTATGAGTTACACGAAGAGATCTTCGCCAAAATCCATTCTAGATATTTTTAGATCCAGACCCGGAGTGGGCCAACTTCTTTTAAATGTAGTTAGGAATCTCGAAATTATAAGAGTCATAAACATGTCATGTACCGTATGGTAGCTAGTAAATAAGTCTAGAATTCGATTATTATTACGACATTTTTTTATAACATGAATATATATTTTAATAAAAATCCACGTTTCTTTTTGTTTTATTCACTCCGTTTTTATTTTTACTTTTCCTCCTCACCTCCCTATTATAATTTTTTTTCCTATTGATCAATTAATGATTACAAGTTCCCGGTCTCACTGGCACCAAAATGAGTTCCTCGGAAGAAGAAAGCAAGATTGACATCTTAGACACGCCTCAAGCTATAAAATCGAAAATCAAGAAAGCCTTTTGCGAACCGGGCAATATAGAAAATAATGGAATACTTTCGTTTCTCGATTTTGTCATTTTTCCGCTATCCTCCGACGGAAGTATTTTTTCCCATATTTTATTAAATTTTGGAGCCATAACATGATTTGTCATTTTATCTTGCTGGATAGACTAGTTTTTTTATATGCGGTGAAACCTAACCCCTCTTTATATTGACCAGCCAGTTCCCAGCTAAACTCCTGATTTATAAAATAAATGATCTTAATCTAAATTTTAAACATAATTAATTGCCTTTATATATTTATTTTTTAAATTATAGACTACCCTTTTAAAAAAACTTTTGACCATTTTATATCAGTAATAAAAAAATTGACCTATGGAAAAGGTTCATCTAAAAGATTGGCTCACATTGTTTGTATACAACTCTACTTAGTCTTAGGCTTATTAAAAAATTAATTCGAATCGAATAGTGTATTATTCTTCAAATCCTTTGTTAGTAGGTTCACAGATATTTCATTGAACCCGAACCTGTACCCTTTATTTAGAAGGAGGGTTCACAGTCCTGATTCAAATTCGTTCGAAAGAATGGATAACGAATAATTTATTATTCGATTCGAAATCCGTTTTTGAATAGCCCTATTTCTAGTCTTTAGATTTAAATTTATGCATATAATTTATGAAAGTTTATTCAAAAAAGGATATTATAATTAGTATTGTTATAGTATAAACGATACAAATCTTAAATTGTCATTTTATATAATATGTGGCGCTGGTGAGATTGGTATTAGGATTATATTTTATTTTTTAAAAATTAATTTTGCTTGAAAACATATAAAACTATTATATTCAAATTGGGAAAGGACATATTTATCTTTTTATTTTCATTATAATGATAATTCAACTACTTAAAATATCATTTTGTCATATGATATTTATAAAAAAAATTGTATTTTAAAATAAAAGAGTCGACACTTAAAATCTAAATATTTAGGAAGGACAATTTTTCCTAGTTATTTACCTATTTTAAGAATTAAATTTATTTTAAAGATATTTTAAATAGTAGGGCTGATGGCTCTCTAAGGATACTATTTTAATCATGAGCAGGAGTTAGAACCTTATAATGATCAGGCGACGATATTTATACGACTTACACAATTAATGTTGTTAAACGGCTCGTTTTGAGCCGATTTTTAAAAACGGCTACACAGTATTTTATCCAGAAAAATATTACGCAAGCCTTAAAATTTTGTTCATGGTAGGAGATAAGGTCTAGACATATAGTATCGAAATTTCGAGGCTTAGTTAATATTTTTCTGGCGAAAATATTGAGCCGTTTAACAACATTATACACAATAATACTTGGTTAATATTTTTTTTACATTTTAGCTTTTACCGTTCAACGGTCCGCTAAAAATGGCGGTGATATAACTTACAGCGACTTTCAAAGCGTGCGAAACGATTTTGAAAACCAAGTTTAAAAAAATATATATTATTGCAACGAAGAAATAATAAAAATTATTCTGAAAATTATTATATTTGTATATGTAAAAATTATAGACATAGTTTAGGATTTTATAATAAATGATAATTAATTTTAAGAATGAGCTCTGATAAGTAAATAATTTTCTAAAAAAAACAATTAATTTTATATCTTAAAATATAATTACATTTGAAAAAGTGACTAATTCAAATTAAACATCATTTAATTTCCTGTTTTATTAACTAAATTCGAAACGAAATTAACTGCTCTACTAGAAATGAAGGAAGATAAATTTGTATTGTAATGAATAAGTATTTATTTGACTATTGGATGTTTATGCATATATTGATTTCAAAATTATGCAAATTAAACATGATTTAATTTCCTGTTTTATTAACTAAATTCGAAACGAAATCAAGTGCTCTACTAGGAACGAAGGAAGATAAATTTGTATTGTAATGAATAAGTATTTATTTGGCTATTGGATGTTTATGCGTATATTGATTTCAAAATGATGAATCATGAGGTTATTACAATTGAGATGTTATTAGAACTTTACAGACTCTCACTGTAGAAATATTTATTTTTACCGGTTGTGTCTTGTGAACTAATATATTGCTAATGTTAATGTGATAATATAAATGAAATTCCAAAGTAATATTTTTAGATGAGATTAAATAATCTGTTTTGCATCTATGATATTACAATCTATAGTATTAAATTCATCTTCCACAATACAATCGTCGTCTTTCTCTGCTGAAATAATACCTTTTTTCGATAGTTGCCATGATATAAGAAAATAAGAAAACATAATCACCAAATCCCATAAATTAAAATATTTGAAGAATGAGAAGAAATTATATTCCTTCTTTTTATTAGATTTATTCTGTTTTCCGTTAACCAATACAATCAGGCATTTCCATTTAATACATTTTTATTATAAAAATAATTGACCAACTTGGATATTATATTGATGTAAAAAAAATCAATATGGAGCTTCATAAAATTAATCTAAGAAAAAGATAGGTAATAATAAATATGAAAAAGATGGAACGTGTTCTTTCTGCTATCTATTTTAGCACGTAGGAGCATGTTTAAAATATTGCAGCCATTGTTTTATACTATGAATGAATGAATCAAATATATTTTCCAATATGTTTTTTACCATATAGCTTCTTCATCCCGCCGACCTTAAAGCGGCCTTCCAAAACAGGCTTATTGATATGTTAAAACCCATCAGAAAAGCCTTTGAATCACCAGAACTCAAGAAATTAATGCAATTAGCCTACGGGAATGCGACGGATGTCGATGAGTTGAAATTTCAAATTTGTGAGTAAAATAATTATGATCTTCTGCGCACATATATCCGTTTTCGGTTTTAACGTTTCCATTTCTGGATTTTCGGTCAGGATTTTCGCTAAAATATATTATGTAAGCTTCGAGATTTGGCAAATAGAGGTCCAAACCTTTCTATCATCTATGAGTAAAAATTCAACTACAAAATATTATTTTATCTAAAATCTTAATCGAGCCTTTTTTAAAAATCGACCCAAATAAACAACACCCCAGTGCAATTTTTTTTTAATTCTGAAATCATCTGGTGGCCAATTATTTCGCATAAATCGCTAAAAAATATAATAAATTAAACCTTATTTTCTTATGATTTTTTTTGGAGGGGTGAGGCAGTATATTTTAAAATAACAAAAGTTTTATTATGAGTTCTAGACAATATTTTTATGATTATGATTAAAATTATCGATTTTTTTAAAAAAAATAATGTTGCATCTTTAAATTGCTATATTTTTTTATATAGCTAATGGTTTTACCATAATCGACCAAAGCAAACCAGATTCCGAAAATAATGACATCATACCATCTAAATTGGATTTAAGAGTTGGTCAAATTGTTTCCGTTGAAAATGTAAATATAATAGTTTTTAAAAAATTAGCAATTTTTTCTTATTAAATCTCATGCTATATTCCCATCACTTTGGACCTTCGTTTAGTCTCCAGGCATCTTAAGCCTTGGCAAAAACGTACATAAGATACTCAAAGGGAGGTATGGGCTATGAAAGTGCCTCAATAAAAATTACCATTATTTATTGTATACAAATCTGACTAGGTCCATGGCAGAAACTGTAGAGGTGCTCAAAGGGAGTTATGGGGTATGAAAAAGCTTAAAAAACTAAATATATAAATTTAACTAGGCCTTGGCCATAACGTGAAAAAGTTCTCAAAGGGAGGTATGGACTATGAAAGTGCCTTAAAAAATTTATTTTAATTGTATATAAATCTGACCATACAATATTCGTTTTTTATAAACTTCATTTCCATTGTGATTGGGATATCTGCAAAATCCAAATTTTTTGGCCAGAGCCTGCCTGTCATTCAAATTTTAAAGAAAAGGTATATGGGGAAAAATATCTCAAACCCAAAATGTTTATTTTATTCTCTATTTTTAATGCTACATAAAAAATTTAAAATATTCAAGCAATAACTTGATAATTCAATGATAAAGTAAATATTTATTTCCACCTCCCGATTTTTTTTTAAAAAACTTAGGCGGAAAAAAGTTGAATAAGAAGGAAATAGTAACTTTCATATTTTCAGGGTACTGACCGCGCCTATATTTTATGATGTTTACCGCCGGGCTGATGGCCCGGTCTTTTGGGGATTCTATCACTGGGGTAGGCCATTAAATATTATATAATATCGTCTAAAGATCATGAGATGGAATAAAAAAGCATTTTTGACATCATTACCCCTCCCTTCCAATTAACCTTTTAATTTTTTTAGTTAAAGTTAAAAATTTTTCAAAAAAAACTCATTGACCAAAGTACTATTTTAAATCGCTCAAATTTAATTTAGGCATGATGAGCCCATCTTCGCCTTTTCTTATTTATTTAATTATTCGCGCGTCTATTTTTTTAAAAAAATCGTAAACACTTAAATCTTAACTCGATTTAATTTAAAAGCACCCTGAATCCGAAAATCATCTGTACGTGACCAAAGTCGATCTAGGTGAGCCAGAAACCCGCACTATAATCAGTGGACTAGCAGAATCATTTAGCAAAGAGGAATTGATACATAAGTTAGATTTTATGTTTTAAATAATAGATCCTGTTGTAATATAGCCAAATTCATAGTGTAAATCATCTCCCATTGATTAATCACATATTGCTTACCTGAACTGACTAATATTTGTTAAAATACATTTTAAGCATCATTCATTTTAAAACAGTTATTGACGCCATTTTGGCTTATCATATAAGAATTTTTTTAAATCAAAATAATGAAAACCTTTAATTTTTTTTTGAAAAAAAAGTTTTCATAAAATTATAAGCAAAATTTGTTTGGATATGGAAAACAAAAATGGCGTCATCAACTGTTTTGCATTTATGCAAAATGAATGAATCATAAGTCTAGGTAATTGAAGGGATTTAAGACAGAATTAGATTATATCACAAGAATTCTATTTGGTTAAACGATAAGTAGAATGAAAAATAATAATATGTCTATATTATAATTTATCGTTTGTTTTTATATAACAAGAAAATAAATTATGTATCTTTTTATCACCGCAAACACTTGTTATCATTTAAAATTAATGTACTATTAATGCTTAAATTTATAATAGTATATTAATAAATATGCTACATGCATCGGTTAAAATAAAATAAAAACATTAAATATATATGTTATGGGGAAAGTTGAAGGTATTGAATATTATAAAGATAACTATAGCATCCAATAACAATTTATATTACATGTGGCAAGGGGTTGAGATATTAAGATTTGTAACGATGACATTATGTTATAACAATTAATATCAACAATTCATAAAAAGAGGAGGCTGGTCAATATAGCTCTCCTTCCTAGTCTTTCATAATTACAATTTTAATTTAAAAAACTATAAATTACACTTTATTCATTCATTTTATAATTTTAGTTTGTAAATTTTCAATAATGGGTTAACATAAAATATTACATTACAAAAGGAAATTTTAATCCAAATAAATGTAATTATTTATTATTTAATCAAAATTATATATTACATTATACTAAAAATTAAAATATTTAATGTAAAAGTTAATAAAAGAAAAGAAAAAGTAGAATAATATGTATTTTTTTCGATCAGCAGATCTTCGTCTTAGTGCAAGCTGGTGGGGAAGGAGCTTGTAAATTCCTGCTCTCGCATGATTTGGTAAGATGAAGATCTGCTGATTGAAAACATTTGTATTACACATTATTTTACTCTTCTTTGGCACCAGCTTAATGCAAGCTGGTGGGGAAGGAACCTGTATATTCTTGCGCTCACATGGTATGGTGCTATGAAAATCTGCTGATTGTAAAAATTTGTATTACACATTAATTTACCTTTTCTTTTCTTTCATTAACTTTTACCTTAAATATAACAATTTTTAATGTATAATGTAATTAATATATAATTTTGGTATTATATAGTTAATTACATTTATTTGGATTAATATTTCCTTTTGTAAGTTATATTTTAAGTTAACCCATTATTGGGAATTACGAAAGACTAGGATAGAGAGCTATATTGACCCCCCCCCCCTCTTTATGAATTGTTAGTATATTAATTATTGTTATAAGATGTCATCTTTATAAAGGTAATAGGAAAAAAAACCCCGGAAAAAAACCCCCGGAAAAAAACCCCATGGAAAAAAAAATTTAAAAAAAAAGAAAATCATTATTTTTTAAAAAAAATTTATGTCAATTTTTTCAATTTTTTTTCTCAATTTATTATTTTCTTTCCATTTTTGCTTTAAGTCATTGTTAATCTTTATTTTTCTGACCTTTTCTCAATTTTCACTTAATTTTTTTAGTATAACCTAGAAATAATTAATATTGATAAATAATTTTATAAGCGAATGCCACATTCATTAACAGCTATTAAACTCCAAAAAAAATACAAAATACTTACGAAAAAATATTCGAAGTAATAATGTCTAAATGTCAAGAACGGGATTTATTTCCTAATCCATTATATATATACATGGATTTCGAAAAGTCTGCTATGAGCGCGGTTAAAACTGTCATTGGTACGATTATTAATATTTATTTTTTCAATTAGGGGATCACATTATAATCAGAGGATGCTTTTACCATTTGTGTCAAAGTACCTATAGAAAAATCCAAAAACTAGGTCTGGAAAGCCAATACAGAACCGATGAAGCCCTAAGCTTCTTTTGTGACATGATGGACGGCTTAGCACTTGTTCCTTTATGTGATATGGACAATGCAATGGCATTCCTTAGATCGGTTACTCCGAGCAATGGTAAGGATATTCTTGAATATCTCGATAAAAATTACATCAATGGAGTTTCAAGGGAGGTCACAAGAAGCAATTCTCAATCCCAGATAGGTCGAATTGGGCCTCGATTTCCTCCAGAAACTTGAATCAGAGCACTCTATCCAACGATTAACTCATAAATAATCAATGCGAAGGTTCGAATCATCGTTTTTCTAATCTGGTTGGAAATAAACTCCCATCAATCTGGGTACTGATTAAAAAAATGAAATGCGAGGTGGCTGCCGATGAAACCAAACTTGAACGATGGCGTGTAGGTAGTTGGATCGAAAACAAATCGCAGTGTTTAAACAAGAAAAAATGCTGATGTTCAAATTGTACTGGGAAAAAAAATATCCCAGTAAAAACCCATGTATTACTTATTTTCGTAAAAATTTTCGCTCTAGTAATAAATACAATACCCTTAATTACTATATTAAGTAGACAAAATTTGCAATAAGATCTTGTTTATTTTATTGGTAAATCATTATTATATTTATAATTTATTATTAAATTATATTTTTATAATATTTTTTTCTAAAATACTAATTTGTCTATACCTTATTAAATCCAAACAAAAATATACCGATAATATTAGATCTTAAGTAAATTCGAAAAAAAATTTCGGGGTTTTTTTTCCTGGGGGTTTTTTCCGGGATTCCTTTATAAATCTTCAACACCATCAACTTTCTCCATGTAACATACATTTTTTAATATTTTTTTTATTTTAACCGATGCATATAGCATATTTTTTAATATATTATATTTAACCATTAATAGTACATTAATTTTAAATGGATAATATGATTTTTTTAATATTATCTAACACTTATATAAAATCAAATGATAAATTATTATATAGACACATTATTTTTCATTTACTTATCGTTTAACTCAATAAAATTCTTGTGATATAATCTAATTCTGATCTTAAATCTTTTAAGTAATATTATGTCATTGATTATTTTAAAAAAATGTTATAAAATCTCCCAATTTACTTTTCACTTTGTAAACTATGATAATAACAATATTCAGTCCTTCTTTTTATTGATTTAGTGTTGTTAATTTCTTGTGTAACTAGTTACTTTTTATAATATTCATATATATTAATATTATTCAAATAATTTATTTTATTTTTAATATGTTATATTATAATAAATAAATTAATTTTAAATTAAACTTATTAATTTAAAATTTTGATATATATGATTTTGTATGTGGGTTTTTTTATATAGTTAATATTGATAAATGAATCAGACAAATACAGAATTATAGCCGTATTCTGTATTTTGATAGGGAGAAAGCGCCATTACGTGGGTGTTTGCCTCATGTATTTTATTGGTAGGTCCACCTTTGTAGGCCTTTAGCTAAGTTATGCAATTTGTTTTTTTTTCACTTTTTTCTAAAAATTAAGAATTATAGTCATTATTTAACACAACTATTAACTTTTACTTATTTTTTTTCAAATTTTTGTTTATAGTGTGAAATATTGAATTTGGGGAGAGAGGGGGTGGTGGTGTGTTGAAAGAAATATTTATTCGCTTAAGATAATATTTAAGTGAACAGACAAATTTCCCCTTTTCCCTCCTTGGCTACAGAATTTAATTAATATTAGCGTTAAGTGTTTCCTATGTAGTATTGTTAAACGGCTCGATTTAGGTCTATTTTTTAAAAAGGCACGATTAAGATTTTAGCCAACATAAGCCTGAAGATTTTGCTCATAGATGGGAGAAATGTTTGGACTTCTATATAGCAAATTTCAAGACTTAAATAATATTATTTTGGCTAAAATCTTAATCATGCCGTTTCAACCTAAAAGATATATGTCATATGGCATTTATTTTCTACAAATAAAATCACATATTTATATTTTACATAAAAAGCTCAACATAAAATTGATAAATTTAGATATATTTAAAAAAAAAATTCAAACCAACTCAGTCCGAACCCGATTTTTTTTTAAAAATAAGCCCGGCCCGAATCCTGTTAGGATCGATCGGACTGGTTCTACTTTTGCAGATCTCTAAATTAAAGCATTATATATGATATTCAGTTATTTTATTTCGGGGTAAATATATTCTATTCTCCAGATTTTTTTTTCATCGTAATTATATTTGCATATAAATAAATTGTATATTTTCTTTTAAATACCATTGATTAAGATTTGTAAATCGTATTTTTTATATAAAATTTAAAAAAAAGATGCTTTCTATAGTGATTTATAAAGTAACTAGTTATTTTTGAAATATAACTAGTTACATCTAAAAATATGTATATTAACTGTAACTAGTTACATTTTTATGATTGTAACTAGTTAAGTTTTAAAAGTAACTTTTAACAACACAATTTAAATCAATTTTTTGGGTTTAATTATATTCTAAATAGAGATATAAATTTACAAGTAAAATGGTAATTACATTTAATCATAAAGAATGCAAAAATATATTTTTAAATGGCATGGAATTTTATTAATAATCACTGTTTATAAGATAATATAATATTTGAATATGTTAAAATATACCTTCGAATTCGAAAAACTGATTTAAATTTAGATTTAATTCAAAAGAATTGAATATGGTTTAAGCTTTATCGGACAAAGTTATTCATTGGACATTTTAAGAAGAAAAAAATTTTCTTTATCTTTCAAATGTTATTTATATTAAAAAAAATATTTAAATCAGGAAAGTTATCGTTTTATGCAACCTCAAACCGGCGAAACTTAAAGGCATCCAGTCCTTCGGAATGATCCTTTGTGCCACTGAGTGAAAATTTTTAAATCTTTTACATCATGATCAATTCTTGTTGGGTCTATTCCTTTTTTTTAAATAAAAAAATTAAATCACTTCTTATTTTAAAATATTATTACAAAAATAAAATAGATATCCGAATTAATTAATAATTTTTTAAGTTAAAATTAAAATAAAAGCAGAATCTTTAGTGTTGTTAAACGGCTCTATTTCGTTATATTTCTTTATTAAAAATATGCATATAGAGAAGTTAGCTGTAGCCCAGTTAAAATTAAAGAAACATTTTTGACTCAAAGCCGATCCTTATTGTAGAGACAGAGAGGATTATCAAAAATAAATACATTTCTTATTTATTAAAATTTTTTTACAAAAAACAAAGTCAGGACAAGAAGAAGGAACTTTTGGAAGCGCCCACTTTTTGCGAGGCAGGTCATAAAATAGTATTTGAAGACTACGAACTCAATCAACCCGATGCCGAATTGAAACCTAAAAAAAGAATTTGGGAAAAAATACAGGTTTTTAAAAAAAAATTGAGTCATATTTCTTTTTTAAAACAGTTTTAAGTAATAAATTTTAAGACATTACTTAAAATATTGAACTATTAAGTGTACTTTACTGAGAGGCTATCCTGTTTACATATATATATACATATATACCCTATTTAAATAAGGTTGACCTTAAGACCGATGATCAATATTACGTAAATTGGAAAGGACATATGATGCTCACCCCCGGTGGAACCAAAATCATGACATCACAATTAAAAAATGCCACTATATCATAACAAAAAGAGCGCGTCTTTTTATTGTGTAATCAAAATTTTGTTGAAGGGATTTGTGTAAAACTTCTTATTTTTAAAAATGGAGGATAATTTATAATAATTTTTCCATTGCTAATTTTGAAACTATTGTAAAGAGTTATAATTTTCATCGATTGCATTGTTTGAGTTAGTATTTGTTTTCCAATACATAATTTTTAATATTTTTTTATACGTCAAGCTCAAAACCATTTACAAAAAAATCGTCATTTAAGGATTTTCTTTTCTGGATACATACATACCTAGTGGAAATGTTTTTTATTATTAAATTTTACATGGCTATGGGGTTAATTATTTTAACCGAACTATCTTTAATATATTATGATAGGGTGGATAGGCATGCCTTCAAATGAAATAATCAATTTATAACTCAATTGGTTCTAATCAAATTACTGACGCATCTCTCTCCTATTATTTTTTTTACCTTTTAAAAAAATTCAATTTGGTTAAATATTTTTATGTTCTTGCTATTTGTAAATTTAGAAATATACTTACATATAAGCGGGTATTTATTTATATTTGTTTAAAATATTAAAAATAATAATATAAATGGATTTTTAAAAAAATCAGGGACCCATAACACGTTTCGGCTAAAAAAAATTTCCCATTCCACATTTTGTAACTTTCTGATGCTTTCCTAAAAATTTTTTTATTTATATTTAATATACCATTTTTATTAATTAATCCTTATCTATTATAATAATCCTCAAAAAACATCAATCAAATTTCAATAGTGTCTTTTAAAAAATATTTCTCCAATAAAAATGATTATAACATATTCGTTCCAATGGTAATCATTATACCAACTCAAATCTTCTATCTTCATAAGGTTAAGTTTTTTATAGTTATTCTTTTAGTCTTATTATTTTTTAAATAATCAATTCATACTACGAAAATAAACTTATATACTCAACCCAAGATGCCTCATCAGAAGACGTTAAGATATTGGGCTACAGGCTAATTTTTTATAACTATAGATCTAACAAATTTTATTTAGATAAATTATCAATAAAAAAATATCTATCAAATCAAGAAATTTATTTTAGCCACTTGCATTTTAGACGATTATTATAATAAAAAGGTTATATAAGTAAATATTTTCATTTATATCATTCTCAGTTTTTTGATGAGATCACGAATACCAAGGAAAATAAGAGAGGACATGGGGCTGAATAAAGGAGAGTTTTAATGTCACATAGGAATAATATCGAGATCTTTATATAAAACCATACAATCAGTTAAAATAACTCTTAATTCCATTTACATAATACTTGAAAACGTTTTAAAGAATCATACTGGATAGATTGATTATTTTTTAAATTCTAAGATTTTTTATGTAAATAGATTAATATATATAATCAAGGTCCGTGAAGTTGTAGAAACGAATTAAGGATCAATTACCAAAACCTATGCCATTATTTAGAGTCTTAATTGATCTTCAAACCAGACATCAGCGGAATCAAAGGTTATTGAGTTATAAGAAAAATAATGAGAGTGCGAAGATTTGCAGCTGTAGGAATGATTTGAGGATCAATTACCGAAATTTATACCATTATATAGCCCGTTAATTGATCTTCTATCCGGAAAGCAGTGGAATGAACCGTTACTGAGTTATGAGCAAAATAAGAAAGTGTTTGCACTTTGCCAAAACCGAAAATATAAAAGATCACGATCTGAAACTTGGCAATTATTTAGGCTTTAATTTGTGCGTTAATAATTTCCAAACCGGATAACGATATCACTAACCGCAACCGAGGTATGACTTGTTTTTAAAGCGTGAAGTTGTAGGAATTTTTTTAAAAAGTGAGGATCAATTACCAAAAACTATACCAAATTATGGTGCGTTAATTGATCCTCCAGAATCTTTAAATCGCATATCAACGGAATAAACCGTTCGTGAGTTATAAGCAAAATAGAAAGGTTTTGGCATCTTGCCAAAATTAAAAATTTGATCAATCATTTTTTTAGTTATAGCCAATATTTAGTACCATAATTGATCATCCGTATTCTTCAAACGGAATGTCAAAAAAATTAAAGGCTATTGAGTTATAAGCAAAATAATGAGAGTGCGAAGATTTGCAGCTGTAGGAACGATTTGAGGATCAATTACCGAAACTTATACCATTGTATAGCCCGTTAATTGATCCTAATTGATCTTCTATCCGGAAAGCAGCGGAATGAACCGTTACTGAGTTATGAGCAAAATAAGAAAGTGTTGGCACTTTGCCAAAACCGAAAATATAAAAGATCACGATCTTTAATTTGTCAATTATTTAGGCTTTAATTTGTGCGTTAATAATTTCCAAACCGGATAACGATATCACTAACCGCAACCGAGTTATGACCTGTTTTAAAGCGTGAAGTTGTTTTTTTAAAAAGTGAGGACAAAAACTATACCAAATCGTGGTGCGTTAATTGATCCTCCAGAATCTCTAAACCGCATATCAACGGAATAAACCGTTCGTGAGTTATAAGCAAAATAGAAAGGTTTTGGCATCTTGCCAAAATTAAAAATTTGAGCAATCATTTTTTTAGTTATAGCCAATATTTAGTACCTTAATAGATCATCCGTATTCTTCACACGGAATGTCAAAAAAATTAAAGGCTATTGAGTTATAAGCAAAATAATGAGAGTGCGAAGATTTGCAGATGTAGGAACGATTTGAGGATCAATTACCGAAACTTATACCATTGTATAGCCCGTTAATTGATCTTCTATCCGGAAAGCAGCGGAATGAACCGTTACTGAGTTATGAGCAAAATAAGAAAGTGTTTGCACTTTGCCAAAACCGAAAATATAAAAGATCACGATCTGAAACTTGGGAATTATTTAGGCTTTAATTTGTGCGTTAATAATTTCCAAACCGGATAACGATATCACTAACCGCAACCGAGTTATGACCTGTTTTTAAAGCGTGAAGTTGTAGGAATTTTTTTTAAAAGTGAGGATCAATTAATGAAATTTATGCCAAAGTGTAGAGCGTTAATTGATCCTCCAGAATCTTTAAACCGCATACCAACGGAATAAACCGCTCGTGAGTTATGGGCAAAATAAAAAAGTGTTAGCACTTTGCCAAAACCAACCTAAAATAAATAAAATCATAATCTGAAACTTGGCAATTATGTAGTATTTAATATGTACATTAATAATCTGCAAACCGCGTATCCGTATCACCAACCGTGACCGAGTTATAACGGTTTTAAAAACGTGAAGTTGGCGGAATTTTTTTTTAAAGTGAGGATCAATTACCGAAATTCATGCCAAAGTGTAGAGCGTTAATTGATCCCACAGAATCTTTAAACTGCATACCAAGGGAATAAACCGGTGTGAGTTATGGGCAAAATTGAAAGGTTTTCGCATTTTGCCAAAATTTAAAATTCGAGCAATCATTTTTTAGTTATTTAGTGTTTTAATTGATCCTCCGAATCCTTCAAACGGAATGTCAAAAAAATTAGGAAAGTGAGTTATCAACAATAAATATTTCAAGGTCAAATTTCGACCCGACAAATTATGGATATTATTAAATTTTATCGATTTAAAAGGCCAATGATAAAGCTAGAAAGCTTATTATATTTATAAAAGTATATTCCTTTTTTATTGATAGATCTTAACTATTTTAAAAAATATTAGAAGAGTGTAAGTAAACTTGAATTACAAGTAGCTATCTAGAAAAATTAGGTATTATTTAATTTAGCCAAGTATATCGGCCTTTATGGCTTTTGTAGTTATATTTTAATCTGTCGAAGATTTTTTATGTAATATAATAGTGAAGGAATGGTGAATAATATTATGTACGAATAGTAATATATAAATCAGAAAAAGCAACAACAGTATAATTTGTTTTAATCACGATATATATTTATTGGTTCCACGTCATTACAGAGAAAACAATTACGGAGAAACTTTTACAGAGAAAACAATTAAAGATAATGTCGTTTAAAGAGAAAACAATTAAAGAGAATGTCGTTTAAAGAGAATTTTTTTATAGAGAATTATTTTATAGAGAATGTATTTTACAGAGAAACTTTTACAGAGAAAACAATTAAAGAGAATGTCGTTTAAAGAGAATTTTTTTATAGAAAATTATTTTATAGAGAATGTTTTTACAGAGAATGATTTTATAGAGAATTATTTTATAGAGAATGTTTTTACAGAGAATGATTTTATAGAGAATTTTTTATAAAATTTTATTTAAAGAATATGATTATATTATAAAAAATGTTAATCTATATAATATATAACATTTTTGTATAAATTTGTGTAATTATTACTTAGGGTGTGCATATTGTTTTTCTACTGGCCATATACTATGTGTTAACTTTTATTATAAATATTAAATATTTCTATATGTATGAAATACTTACAAAAGACCAATCTTACATCTCAATTTACCATCATTTATTTAATACATTAATATCTTAATTATCTTTTTGCTAAACTTTCTTAAATTTGTTCATCATTTGAAATAAAGTGAGTTTTTTAGAAAGATTGCTAAACTTTCTTAAATTTGTTCATCATTTGAAATAAAGTGAGTTTTTTAGAAAGAGATACTAATTTTGAAAGAAATCGGTCCAATAGATAAAATTTAATTTTTTTATATCATTATATTTGGTAGCATTAAAATAGAGTAAAATTGACACAATGCAAAACTCTATTTTTGAATTTCAGAAAGTTTTATAATCTTATATCATGTTTAAATAAAATTTTCGAAGGTTACAAATGTTAAATTATAGATGTGACACACGATCGTACACCTCTATGTGGTTATCAAAATATTTTTATGGCAGTAAAAGTGTTTATCAATTGAAAACAATCTATGTTATGTTATTCTATATAAACGACATTCTCTATCAGTGTTTTCTCTATAAAAGTTTCTCCGTAATTGTTTTCTCTATAAAAGTTTCTCCGTAATTGTTTTCTCGATAAAAGTTTCTCTATAATTGTTTATTTTGTAAATGTTTGTCACTAAAGACCATTTTAGAATATTTTAAGTAATAATTTAATTATTTTTTTAAGTAATAATTTAATTATTTTCTTTTTAAATTTTGATAAATTTTTTTTAAATTATGGCTGAATTTATTTTAAGTAGTCGAAACAATAAGTTACTACTTCTTGATTTTTACTTATTTCAAAAGGAAAAAACATCTAACCAAACAACCTATTGGAGATGTATTCAATTCAATGTGGACGAATGCAGTGGACGTGCAAGAACTAAGAACGGAATCCCTATATTCCACAATCATAAACATAACCATGTACCAGACATTGCAGATATTGAAGCAAGAAGAGAGCTAAATAGAATTAAACAAGTGGCTTCTAGTTCCCAATCTCTGCCCAATAATATAATAGCCGATATATCTAGCAATATATCCATAGCCGCCACTGGTAAAATGCCCAGTTGTTCCTTAATTAAAAGGACAATTCAAAGGAAAAGACGCCAAGTAGGAAGAGCGCCTGCCGTTCCTGTAAGCCTGATTGACTTGGTCATACCAATCGAATATCAATTATCCAATAATAATGAACAATTTTTACTTTATGATAGTGGTCATCATGATCACCGATGCATAATATTTTCTACCATTAAAAATTTACAATTTTTATCAACATGCGATAAATGGTATGCAGATGGCACATTCAAAACATGCCCCCCTCTCTTCCAGCAAATATACACCATCCACGGGATGAAACATAAAACCATTATTCCCGCTATTTATGTTCTGATGGCATCACGTCGCCAACAAGATTACCTTAAT